ATATGAACATGTAAACATGGACACACACACACGCACATACATACATACATACATACATACATACATACATACATACATATGTGTATGTATGTACGTACGTACGTACGTACGTACGTACGTACGTATTTATGTACCTCGCCTGCAGCGTCGAGTGCGAGTGCTAAAATGTATTTATGTACGTATGTATGTATGTATGTATATACATATGTATATACGTGTGTCTGTGTGTGTTCTAGATGAGAGTTCCTTTACAGTAATACATATGCTAAATACACACATACACATATGTAGGAAATGCAAGACTGTACGTACGTGCGCAGGCAGGTAGGTAGGTAGGTAGGCAGGTAGGTACGTAGGTAGGTAGGCAGGCAGGCAGGCAGGCAGGCAGGTAGGTATGTACATATGGATATGCGGATATGTCTGTCTGTCTGCCTGTCTGTCTGTCTGTATGTATGTATGCATGTCTGTATGTCTGTGTGTATGTATGCATGTATGCTGTGTGTCTGTCTGTATGTATGTAGGTAGGTAGGTAGGTAGGTAGGTAGGTAGGTGTCTGTCTGTAGGTATGCATGCATGCATGCATGCATGGATGGATGGATGTATACATACTTACGTACATACATACATACATACATACACGCATACGAAGTATGCTGGAACCTGTGAATATGGCTAGGCTGCTTCCTATTTGTACTTGCACCTTTCATTGTGACAATGCATAATTACCTACAATTTCTTGTGGTGGTTCGCCCGCGCTCTAGGTCCAGATCTGCTCGATCATCCAGAGAGGCGAAGCCCCCGAGCTCTGCCGGTTTGGGTGTCACGGCCTGACGGTTGATCTTGGCCCAATTCGGGGCCTCAGAGCACTCGCCTTGCAGTTTTGGGCCATCTCTCCTTGTGAAGTGAAAGCTGGAGCTGTTCGCAGCCCCTTCTGGCTCAGCAAGGGGAGCAGATTCGCCAGCGGTCTCATGACCCATTGTAGCTGCTGAGGTGCTGGAGTTGATCAGGTGTGACCAGGTATGCATCTGCTTGCGGTTGCTGCCAGGACGTGGCGCGGACATGGTTCCTTCCCGCTTCAGCTTTATCTTCGTGCGGAGCCCAAACTTGGCCATGCCGCGGCAGTGCTTCGGTCCAGAGAAGCTGCCAAGGTCTTGGGCCTCCAGCTCAGCGCAGCCTGGGCAAGCAAGGCCCTGGAGCTCCTCACCGAGGAGGCTCTTTGAGTGGGTTTGTAAAGGGGCTAAGGGGAGGCTTTTGCCGAATTTCCCGGCAGGAGAACGAGTTGACCCAGAGGAGACTCGATTTTGCGGCATGGTGTGAGAAGGAGGTGGCCACGCAGGACTCCTTGCTCGTGACTGCAAATTCGCTTTCCTGCATTCTTCCCGGTGATGCGGTGTGTCTTGCTCAGCTGCTGAGCACGAGGAGAAGCAGAGGCAAGAGCTCATAAGGCTGCAGGGCAGCTTCGATGCAGAGGATTCAGAAGATGAGTCGTTCGATGTGCCGTCCTTGCTCAGCACAGCGAAACAGCTGCAGCTAATGCAGCAAGGGAAGGTCGTGGAGTCTCCATCCCATAGCAATCTCGACGTGGCCGTGCAGTGCCTCGCAGAGCTTGAGCCACGCGGCTGCATCCTCGTACTCCTGGAGCCATGCTTCCTCTAGCTACTTTCGGGGCTGAGGTTGTAAATATGTTTTTTTCAACCTGGGTGACGCTTCCCACAACTTCCGACGAGCCAAACTTCTCGTTCCCGTGATGTGGATTCGTTCAAGGTTCGTAAAAATCCAGCAAGCACCCAAAGTCGGGGAACCTCCCGCAGAGAGTGCAGGCAAACTGGCGACTGGCTGAATCGAACGAAGTCTTGATTCTAGTTCGGATGCATTTTTTGTTGGAACATGTGTGGCGAGCTCTACTTCTGACCGGACCTGCAAAAAGGGAGTTTGAACAGCTATCCTCCAGCAATTAATTCCTTGTTTGCTCGAGGCATCACATGTGATTTGGGTTTTGCTGATCCGAGGCGGTTTGATACCTTCCCTCTCGTGAGCCTTTCCCTCGCTGCTCCCTACAAACCAAATCCAAGCCAGAAGCGAGCACAAGTTGTTACACACATGTTCTCGCTTGCCTCCATCTCGCCCCGATAGTACGACATAAATCTTGAATGAGCGCCGTTGTGGGGGCTGAGGTCCGAGCTCGTAGCTCGATCGTCGAGCTGGGCTTTTGGCGAGAAGCAGAGCCTGCAGGCCGTCCGGAAAGTGCTCGGCGATGCACGGGAGCAGCAGCTCGGGGAAGTTGGAGAATGTGCAGGGTTCAAGGCACCTCCAAGGAGTCGTCAGTGTTTGAAGATCGGCATCAGCTTCCACGAACACAGTCGGAGGTTTTGTTTGGGAAGTTTGAGTTTCTGTGGGCTGAATGAATAGTGGCAAACGGCGGTGGAGATGTCGAGGGTCAGCTAGGCTAGGAGGGGATATCTTGTCATGCCAGCCTAAGGAAAGCAATGTCTTCGAGCCAGCAGCCGAATCTCACGAGTGCGCTGCCTCCAGCGCAGCTGGAAATGCTCAAGGTTCGAGCACGATTCCTGGGGATTCCGGGATGTATGGCCAGGATTTGTTGCATGCTTATTCCTTGGCGTTGCTTGGTTGAGTGCCTGTCACAAAGGTACAACGGAGTCCGAATTCATAATATGCCCGTGCGGCTTGAAAGCTAGTCTCACAGTAGCAATCGTTTCTGCTGCTGCCGATTCATGAAGCTCAAAGCCAACAGCTCCTTGCCCTCTGCATCCCTGAAGGCGAGACAGCTTCAGGCAGCAGAGACCCAGGCACTTCACCGCGCCAAGAGCCTCGCAGCGCGAAGTGGACGCCAGGCCGGCGCAGCCGCAGGGGTGAAGATGATGCTAAAGAAGACGAGACAGGCGATGTTGATGTCAGTATTCCTATATAATGTGATGACAGGGGTGACGATGCAGATGCGCTTAGTGACTTGGTCTTGCCTGCTGTCACTAGTTCTACTATGCTTTGTTATTCCGAGGCGGCATCAACAGATCATTGTACGTGACTGCAGTCATGCATTGTTTGGTATTGTTATGCATGGCATGCGACACACATCGCAGTAGCCTTGAGGTGTTGGATGCGGCAGTGGCGCAAACGAATGCAGCTCTCTCCGATGCTGCCGGCATTTGTGGCCTGCCGGACAGTACGATGCATCTGTTTTCGGTAGGCACAGGTTCTTAACAGGTCTTAAGCCGAGACGAGGTGGCCTTGGTCGCACGGTGATGAACCGTACAGAAAGTGCAGGGAAAAAGCTGGTGAAGCAGGCCCTCGAGCTGATCGGCAAAGCCGAGGGCGCAGCAGAAGCATTGGCCAGCTCTCAAGCAACGGTTCAGCCGGCTAGCGCCACGGTGACACCCCACAGAACGAAGACTAGTTCCTCAGATGAGAGCCATGGGCAAGTGACATCATCACAACTCGCTCACCTACTGGAGGTCTCCCAGGAGTTGCAGCAACAGCAACAGCAAATGCAGCAAGAGATGGCCGAGCTGAGGCAGCTGCAGGCGGAAGCTTCGCACCACCTCGTCACAGATGTGCCCACGCCCGCAGCATCTGCAAGTGATGTTAAGACCAAGCCTCAAGAGCCGGTGCTCCCAGTACCAGAGGCGAAGAGCTCACCAGGCACAGCACAAGCTCCGGCCCAGCTTCCCAAGACCTCCATATCACTTGCAGCGGAGGCTCAGGACAGCAAGCTGGAAGCAAGCGAGTCTGAGGAGAAAGCTCCCGAGCTTCCTGCCCCTGCGGCCCCTGCGCGCGGCAGAGCCAGGACAAAGCATCATGCTTTGGAGCCACCACATCATGAAGTCCATGAGGCGCAGGCCGGTGAAGATGAGGATCTTCCCAAGATGCAAGCACCCAAGGACTTCCCTGCCGCTTTGCGGGGCGGCTGGCAGGGCTTGCTGGCTAAGAAGCGTGCGGAAAGCAAGAAGAAGCCTTCGAAGCCTGACGACGCCCTGGGTATCATGGAGCTGATGCAAACGCCGAAGACATACACTGCTTGGTGGCGACCTCAGACGGGGACGTAATGATGTGATATACACACCTACTTACAGTACAGCTTATAAGTCCCAAAGCTTTACCCGAACCAAGGCAACCAGATCAAGGCGTGGCCTCAACTGCTGCGAAGGCCAAGGACGACCTGTTAGCAGCAGAGAGGGCGCTCGATGATGATGACGAAGGCGAAAAGCAGATCCCCGCCAAGAGCCTTGGACTTCATCGCATGTGTTTAGCGGCTAGCGACAGCACATAAGCTGAAAAACGAAGTTGGTGAATCGCGCTCGTGCTGGCAGTTTCGGGGGTGGCAGCGCCTCGCAGTGCACTGAATCTGAAGCTTTGCCACTGCATCCCAGGAGGGATGTCCGATCCTTCCACCCGGATCGCGCCTCCATGACCGACCCTTTGGCCTTCTTTCAGTTCGGTTCAGCGCCTCAGCATGAGCCTTGCATAAGACAACGGACATGGGATAGCGGGCTGTACTTTCGAAGTATGGTCTCGTTGGGGGCTGGTCGTCGTTTTCACAGGCCCGACTCCTGACCAAAGCGCCCCTGCTTGCAAGCGTCAGGCAATCAGGCGCCCGGCTCTATCGGCACCAAAGCTTGAAGACAACCTGGCTGGGATCTCGGTGGCTCTAACCAAGTCATGTGAGAAGCCGGCACAGCTCATGAGTTTCTTCACTTTGTTGCCTTTGTTTGAGGTGGCGATGCTGCTTCGAAAGTTCGCCATGGCAACCAACAGCACGTTGCTCATGGAGCTTTCCCAAGAAGAGCTAAGCAAAGAGAGCCTACAATCTCTGCTGCGCAAGTTGGAGACAGGGTCCCCAGATGCGGTTGATGCCCAAGATTCAGAGCTCAGAAAAATGTGCGAGGCATACGAGCAAGAGCAGCTCGGACGCAAAGCTTCGCGGACTGCAGGTCCCAGGTGCACCACTAGGTGACTAGCCCCTATGATCCCCTACGTCTACCTGGGCCCTCAACTAAACCGTAACGCATCGTAACCTCGAAGACATTAACTACCGTGCCATTCGTTTGGGCAGGATACCTTGCTCCGACGAAACATGGTAAACCGCCGTTTGCTCTGTTTGTGGTGGTTCCCCCAAGTGCGAACTTCGCGTTCAAGCAGAGATGGTCACGAGAAGGACAATTGCAGGAGCTTGCTCGATGATAGGGGACAGAAACTTTTCAGAACAGCACGCAGGCAACCACGCGAGCGGACAGTGAGGCTCTGACGAAAATCGAGAAAGTTGAGCGAGCTTTGTCTATTGCCCTGCTCTAGCCTTCAACCCTGACCAGACTTGCCTCAAACGTCCGAGATTGACAAGTGGCCTGCATCAACTGGCAAGCTTAGACACCGAGGTCTTCCAAGAGCATTGAAGAGGAACTCTCCAATGAGGTTCACAATCACTACACGGCAGCCAAGGCCCCTCGCTGCCATCCGCCAGTCTTCCTAGTCGAACAACAACGTGTGGAAGATCGTAATTATTCGTAAAACCACACTCATTGCTCCTTTCCCGACTGCATGAGTCGGGGAACGAGATTGGCCTTGAATCCTACCGCCGGATGTTGTTGGGTGTGGCATGGCGTCCGGTCCTGTTTCTGTTTGAGGGTAGTATTTTTCGGAACTGTCATAGTGCTTGTCCGAGTGTGGGGGGGGGGGGGCGTGACTATCTAGATTAGAAATACACTTGCTACAAGAATTAATAATTCAGGGCTACACGGATGTTAAGTAAGCGGGCATGGCTGTTTGAGCCTCCGATGCTGAAGCATGTGAGGCTCGGGAGGAGAAG